GTCTCCTGCCTCCGCCTCCCAAGTAGCTGGGACCACAGGCGCCCGCCACAACGCCTGGCTATTTTTTGGTTGCAGCTGTCATTGTTGTTTGGCGGGTCTGGGCTGGGGATACGAACCCGCCACCTTAGGTGTACGTGGCTGGGAGTGTGATTTTTCAATATACAGTAGAAACTCTATTGTTGACCACCTCCCTTTTCTAACCATCTCCATAAGTTGACCTAATGTTCATAGACTAGACATGCACCGCCTGTACTGAGGCCTAGTTCCTTATGTTGACCAGTTTCTTACAGTCCGTTGGGTGGTCAACTTACAGAGGTTCTACTGTATTCTAAAAGTAAGTCTTCTTATTGCTTGTTGCTTTCTACTTTGTGTATTGTACTTACTTTAGGAGAGATGTCATTTTGTTTTCATTTCTAGGTAAAACCAAATAGTAACCAAGTTAATCTTGCCTCCTGCTGTGTGATGCCACCTGATTTGACTGCATTTGCTAAACAGTTTGACATTCAGCTACTGACTCATAATGATCCAAAAGGTGAGACTAGCATTTTCATTACAGAGATTAATCATGAGCTTTTGTCTCACCGAAGCTTCTTGTTGAAATTTAATTTTAAGTGTTTGCAGTGATAAATGTACAGTGTTAGCTAGAATTAATTTTAATGGTTAGTCCAAAACATTTATGCCTTTATTTTCAGAAAGCTTAATTTTATCTTTGGGGAGAAAAAAAGTGAACAGATCATTTCCCAACATCTGTTGGGGTTCACAAATGTTGAATTATGAAGAAAAGATCTTTTGAGACATTCTAAATAGTAATATACATAATCTTGTCTAGTATGGTGAAGATTGGACCAAAGGGTCACTTAAAAGTATAAATATCTGGGGGCAGTGCCTGTGGCTCAAAGGAGTAGGGTGCCAGCCCCATATACCAGAGGTGGCAGGTTCAAACCCAGCCCTGGCCAAAAACTGTAAAAAGTAAATAAATATCTGGAAAAAGAGGCATATAATTTAATAACAAAAATATAATGGGATCCTTTCCTAACAAAAGTAATCAGTTTAACCTGGTTCTGTGTACCCTCAATGAATCTCCAACATTTTAGTGAAAACTAACAATTGCTTTAATTTATTCTAAAACATAAGCTGTTTAAATTTTATCTTTTCATATGATTGTAGTTATCATTTACCTGTTTACTTCTGAGGGGGCTCTTCTAGCAGTAATTGTGACCAGCAGCTGAGGATCCAGCCTGTACTCTTTTAACTCTGCTTGAAAAAGGCTCCATCCTTTTTTCAGGAGGAAAGGAAAGAAGACAAGACTAACCTGTCTGTCGTTGTATTTCTGTGTATCCAGATGTTGACATTTAGATTGTGTTAATGCCTCATTGTTAGGACAGAATATGCTGCATGTTCTGTCTGTCTGAGGAGAGACATTTAATACTTTTATGGTTTTGTGTTACTGACATAATTTGATACTTGGTTGTCCTTTTAACTTTAATTCTAAACCTTTTGGTTAGAATTTATAGGCTCATCCTGCATATACCATTAGTGAATCTTCAGACACTTTATATGAAGCAATTCTTCATTTAATTTGTTGTGTTATACTGACCAAAGAGTTAATATAGTTGAATTTTAAAAGTATGTAGTTAATGAATAGCACAGTTGTCTAATTTCATGTCAGGTTTTTTATCTGTAAGCAACCAAATTGTAAATCACTTAACTGGGCTTGTCATCAAAAATAGAATTTTGTTTGTAAGTCCCCTGAAGGTCTAATTCCATTCTGAAATTACCCTTATTCCTCCTAGGATTTTATTTTCCATTACCCTTTGTCCTAGTAGTTGTAGTAACAGTTTAACTGCAGCCAGGGTAAAATTGGAAAGTAGATGATCCTGACGTTAGATTTTTTACTTTTTATTTGCTCTACCCCTGCTCCAATCCCATTAAATCTAAACTGTATTATACCACATTCCCTCAGGAACCTCTTCTCTGCTAGATAATCTGATAAATAAGTCAGTTATTTATGTTACTTTTCCAAAGAGAAGTTTGCATCCTATTTATGAAAACTAACATTTACTAGCTCTGTGACCTTGGGTAAGTTACCTAACTTCTCTCAGTTTCCCCTCTATAAAGGGGAATAATAGCTATCCCACAGGGTTAACATGTATATAAATGAGTTAATACAAGTAAAGTGCTCAGACAAGTGCTTGGCACATGATAATAACTAATATTTACCGAGAGTTTACTGTTAATGCTGTTCAGGTTTCACAACAGTACATTTGAGGGTAGTCAGGTCCTGTAGCACTCCCCGATCATCCTGTATAGATAAATGGCCATGTGATCCCTACCTATAGGTTGGTTTTGACCTGAGTGGGATTTTTCCGTATTGACTGGTTCATTCATCAGACATTGAGCACCACAAGTTAGGTATCATTCTGGGTACTTAAAGAGATGAAGAACTAACTCAGACAAATGCCAACCCTTATGGAATTTATATTCTAATAGGAAAAGACAGACGATGAAATAAATGTTATATATGCTAAGTGGTAGTATATGCTATGGAGAAAAGTTGGCTGAGGGAGAAAAAGAGCATCCAGGTTAGGAGTTGTTTTATGTGTGACGTCAGGGAGGCCTGTCTGCTAAGGTAGTGTTAGTCAGACACGTGGAAGAAAGGAGTGAGCCGTGTGGACGTCTGGAAGAAGAGTGTTCAGAGAAGGAGCAGCTGATTCAGAGGCCAAAGGTGTGAATGTGCTCAAGGTTTCAGTATACAGTAAGGAGGCCATTGTGGCCAGAGAAGAGTTGTAATGAGGGGGAGAGTAGGATATAGCATCACAACAGTCAGAGAGGATTGGGTTGAAACTTCAAGAATTCAAAAATAACAAGTTCATCCAAAAAAGAGCCAATTAGAAGATTGGCAAAGATTTTTTATTGATTGCTGGTGCTCATGAGGATATGATATGAACGGCACTTTCATATTCTCAGTGCCTAGTGGAAGTATAGAGTATAGCCTTTTGGGTGGCTCCTGTAGCTCAAGCCGCTAAGGCACCAGCCACATACACCAGAGCTGGCAGGTTCAAATCTGGCCTGGGCCTGCCAGACAGTGACAACTACAACCAAAAAAGCTAGGTGTTGTGGTGGGCACCTGTAGACCCAGCTACTTGTGAGGCTGAGGCAAGAGAATTGCTTAAGCCCAGGAGTTGCAGGTTGCTGTGAGCTATGACACCACGGCACTCCAGGGCGATAGCTTGAGGCTCTGTCTTAAAAAAAAAAAAAAAGTATAGCCTTTTTGGAAAGCATGGTAGTAGACTATTGATAAGTAGCAAGCCAAATATTAAGAAGAGCTTAAATGTTTGACCAACAGTAGAGAAATGTATATATGTTATCTATATGATATAGAATTTTGAAGAATTACCAAAAAATGATGTTTTCACGGAATATTTAATTGCATGGGGAAATATTCACCAATATTAAGTGAAAAAGGTAAGTAAATTAGGCTGTAACTACAGTTAGGAGTTCTAGTTTTGTAATGTGGATATATATATATCCATACATACAGATAAAGGATGTGGAGATACACACACATGCACAGATACACACACAGAAGAAAAGTTGGAAGGAAATACTAGCAGTGGAAAAGGTGTGTCAGCTCCAACTGATAGGATTATGACCTTGTTTTTCTTCTTTATGCTTTCCTGTATTTCCCCGAACTGTACACTAGAATCACCTGGAAGCCTTCAGCAACTACAAATGTCTACCCTCCACTCACCAGAAGTTATGAATTAAATAGGCGGGAATGCAGGTGTAGATACTTTATTAAAGAACTGCCTTGGGAATGCCTTAATAGTCTGGTTCCAATTCATAACACACGTGAAGGATATTTTATATTCCGTTTTGAGGTGTCTCTTGTATTAAATGAGGAAAGTGCTTTTGTTTCTCAGTTTAACACTTTGGGTTTTATTTGTTTTAGAACTGCTTTCCGAAGCAAGTTTTCAAGAAGCTCTTCAGGAAAGCATCCCCGACATTCAAGCACATGAGTGGGTGCCTCTGTGGCTACTGCGATACTCAGTCATCGTGAAAAGTAGAGGAATTATCAAATCAAAAGGCTACATTTTACAAGCTAAAAGAAGGGGTTCTTAACTATGACTTAGGATCATAACCGACTGGCCTGTATTGTCCTTGAATATAAGATAAAATTGAGATATGTAAAAACCTAGTTCCTGACCATAAATGGCATCATTAAAGCAGATACAGATATTCCTTTTTTTTGAGGCAGATACTCTGTAGTTATATTTGACAGTATGTTGTCTGCCAAGTTTTGAATACTTCTCTTGCCTCCATATCAGTCCACTCACATGAACCACTGTATTGTTTTCATTAAACTATTGTTTTCTAATTGAAATTGTCTATAAGAAAATACTTACAATATATTTTCCTTTATTTTTATGACTAATAGAAATCAAGGAAATTTGTTGTTAGATATATTTTGGCCTAGTTACCAGAGTAATGTATATACATATTTTTTATTTCCCAGAAGATTTCATTAATTGCTTCTTACTCTATAGTATTACTAAGCAATTTAATTACAATTTGTTAAAACCGAAATGCAATACTGGAAGATACTTTTCCTGTCATTGATAAGATTGTATCTAAGAGTAACTGGAGTAGCTAGGATTTATTCATAGTGTAAATAAAATTCATTCTTCAATACATGAATGGAAACGTAAATCTTTTTTACGTGTTCTTGCTTAGAGTTTAACTATAATGATTTAACCATGTATTCTTGTGCTGTATTTCCTAATCTAGTTACTTACAAAGAAAAACCAAAGTAAATCTGAAAAGCTTTGAAGCTACTGCTTAAGGGTTTTATAAAAGCAACTATTGTCACCTCCATATTATTTTAAATTCTTGATCTATCCTTAATAAATTGCTACTCATTCAAGAATATTCAATAAATATTGAGCACTTACCATGTGCTTGGCATTGTGGCCTCTGGAGATAAGAGAGGGTACCAGGAATTAAGAATCCATTGAGTAAAATATGTGATATTTGTTCCTCATTAATAACTAAGAAGGAGAAACTAAAAATAAGAAAAGGGGTAAAAAGGCTGGGTGGATGGCTCATGCCTGTAATCCTAGCACTGTGGGAGGCTGAGGTGGGTGGATTGCTTGAGCTCACGAGTTCGAGACCAACCTGAGCAAAAGCGAGACCCCGTCTCTACTAAAAATAGAAAAACTGAGGCAAAAGGATGGCTTGAGTCCGAGTTGGAGGTTGCTGTGAGCTGTGATGCCATGACACTCTACCCAAGACAATAGCTTGAGACTCTGTCTCAAAAAAAAAAGGGGGGGTTAAAAAATCGTTAATTCAGAGCCAGTATTGTCTATTTAGACAACTACGAGATGTGGTCTTAACTATTTTAAAGCAGAACTATATAATCAAAACTTTAGATCTAGAGGAGGCAATAGGGCATTTAGTGTAATTCCTTATTAGTTTAAGAATCAGGCTCGGCGCCTGTGGCTCAAGCGGCTAAGGCGCCAGCCACGTATACCTAAGGTGGCAGGTTCGAATCCAGCCTGGACCCGCCAAACAACAATAATGGCTGCAACCAAAAAAAAAAAAAAATAGCCGGGCGTTGTGGCGGGCGCCTGTGGTCCCAGC